GCGGTGTTAGGCAGCGGCTCACTAGATCCGTTAGACTTAAATAGCAGGTGCGATGACACTGTTCTGTAATCAGGTTCTGTCAGCCCTCTCCACAAGGCACAAGCTCCCACTATTTTTGCTGCAACGCTATAGGGGCCGACGGGTGCCCAGGTGGGGCGGGCAGACCTAGAAGCTGTCCTAAGAGCAGCCCCCACGTCCCCTGCCCCCACCGCGGCCGGCACTGCAGCTCAGGCCGCAGCTCTTGATGTAGGAGAGCAGCGCCCTGGCTCAGGGATAGCAAAGAAGCTCCAGCCCATCAGGCCCGGACGTGGGCGGTTTTTTCTAGGAGGAATGCGCGAAACTTAGCCAGTAGGAAAATTTAAAGTGGGGAGAGGGCATTAGAAACGTCAACTGGCCCCTCCTCGCTCCAAACAAGGAAAACAAAACCGTCTTCTAGGCTAAAAATACATATTTAGAAAATCCCTGCGCGCAGGCGGGCGGCGCGTTCCAGCTGCCGGCCTGGCCCCGGGAGGACTTGGCCGCGCAGCCGCCGATTACACCCAGCTCGGCCGGGATGGCTCCGAGCCGTCTGCCCTGACGTCAGCGGGACTCTGGCCCCGCAGCAGCGAGATAGGCGAGCGGGCTGGGCGCGGGCGCGGCACTAATCGCTCCCAGATGTCTCTAATAGCGGAGATAAAGACGGACGGAGCGGCCGGGAATAAATTTGTAATCAGGGCTCTACCGTCTGATCATCAAAGAGGCCCAAAAGCCTGGTGAATTCGGAAGACTGTGTGCAGGGGGAAGCGTTGGGGAGGAAAGGTAGAGCTCGCGCTCTTGGATGGGAGCTGACTTGGGCAAGATGGAGCGGCGAGAGTAAGGACAGGAGTTTCCAACTTCTGTGCGCACGGAAGTCAGACACTCGGAGCACTTTAGCCTCCATTAGCGTGCCAGGCCGAAGCCGCTTAGCAGTTGCGGGCTCATTAGAAGTGGACAGACTGCTGTAACCCTGCACGCCGGCTGAGCGATAAGGCGGCGCTCTCAGAACTGTCCGGCCCCCGGAAACGTGGGATTGGTTTCCTCTCCTGGAGCAGCCCCTCTCTGCCTCTCCCTTTTTTAAACAGTTAAAAAACACATAGGCGCGCCCCCTCCCCCTGCTCCCTACAGCAGCACTTCCTTGCGCTGAGGAGAGCGTTGCTGGGCCTCCAGCCGGGTTCTAGTGCCCGCTCCTGGGTTTTTCTTTGCGCGAGATTCAAGGGCTCAGACAGGAACCCCGCGCATCGGTCAGGGAGACTCATTAGCGCCCCCTCCTTGTGCGGAGAACCTGCTCTTAAGAGCTGGTCCCTAAAAATGAATGTTTTCCCCCGGGTCAGCTGATTCTGAATAAGGTAGAGAGGCAGTGCCCAGGGTCCAGATTCAGCCCTCTATGGGGCTCAACCACGAGCCTCTGTTCAGACCATCTGTCCTTGGAACCCACGAGGAGCCTGACCCGTTTGCAACTCAAGGTGCGTGGGTGGAACTCAGGCACAGGGAGACGCAGAGACCGCGTTAGACAGTTGTGGAAGAGAGAACGTGAGCTGCTCGAGCAGCGTTAGAAACCGGCTTGGTTAAAGCTCTAGGAAAGGTTTCTGGCTCTTTGTGGGCCAGCTCTACAAAAGCGGTCTTGCCTTTCACAGCATCGTTCCTTCTGTGTACTGCCCCTTGCACACGCACCCTAGGCCACTGCAGCTTGCCCGGGTTCCCTCTGCAAAGCTATAGTCTGGGAAGGAGTTCGTAGGCCTGCTTCAGCTCGGCTCGGCTCGGCTCGGCTCGGCTCGTGGTCGCTTTGCTTTTGGCCACATTCTCCTCCTCCATTCCCCTTCCTGCGAATTCAGCGAGTGTCCAACTCCCTCTCTCCTCCCCGTAAGAAGCTTCTAGATCCGAGGCCTTTCTCTACTGCGGGCAGCATCCGGCAGTCACAGGTGAGGAAAAGGAGTTGACCCACCATCTGCCCCAAACTCAGGCGCACCCTTTTTCTAAGAGGGTTTAGGGGCTACCCCTCCTGGCGCCACTGTTGCAGCTATCTCCTCACTGAAGCAAACCAAGCCATTGGGTCCCCTCCGCCTGAGGGCAGCTTAGGCTAAGAGGCCCACCACTGCTAGGTGTCCTGACCCACCGCCTCGCCCACCCGGATTTTGGAGCGCCCCACACCTCCATTGCCAGAATCGCAACCCAAGTGATCTTGCTGTCTCCTGAGAGTTCTCAGCATGAAAAAGCCCGGAGAGCCGCTGTCAGTGCCGGATCTGGGGACAAAAGCCCAGGAAAACCGAGACCATGGGCAAGGAGTGTGATAGACTACGCTCTGGACTTTGGCAGATTCTTTCCCAAGCTGGAACTGGTCTGCATACGGGCACCGACACTCACAATGGCCGATCCCTCGCTCGCTGCAGCTCCAGGGTTATCAGGCTTTTGGCCTGCGCAGCGGTCTGGGGCCGAGCCCTGACAGCCAGATCCACCATCAATTTACCTTCCGCCGCCCCAGCTTCCCATTTAGCTTTTAACGTCAAATCCTACATTTTTGTCGGCTCCGGCCTGTCTAGAGCGCTTGTGATTTCCCTGCAGAAGTGATTGCTCTTAACAAAATGGCAGCAACTACATTATCCAAGCAATTAAAACAGAGGCCTTTTAGCCAGTCCCGCAAGCAGGAGATTGGGAACTTTTTTTTTTTTAACAAAGAAGAAAAGTAGTTAAAAGAGAACAAATTAGTAGTAGTTAAAAGCACAGAAATGCAGAAGAAATGGCTGCTTAACTGCCTCAGAATTTGGACCACGCGGAGAAGGAATGCTGGGTGGCTGGGAACCTTGGGATGTGGGATGTAGGGATGTTGGGATGTTGGGAAGTTCATCTCCTGAGGGAAGGGGTAATCTGGGATGTCCTGATGGCTGGCCTTTGGCCAGCTGGAATAAGTCTCTGCAGCATCCAGCAGTCATAGGTGAGGAGAGGGAATTGAGCCACCATCTGCCAAGCAGGTTTGGCTGCTGGAGGTGAGGGAGAGCTGGAACCTTTCTGCTGGCTAGGGCACTGCGTGTGCTGGGTTGAGATTCCCGGCAGGTTCGACCTGCAAAGTACATGGGGTACCCGGGCTTGGTGCTGCTGGTGGTAAAGATGTGACTGCTGCAGGAGGGAAAGGAGGCCGACAGAGCTTGATCCCTGTCAGACTAAGAGCTTGGTGTCTGGGGCACAGGTTTAAAAGCATGTGTATTAGCAAGTGATTACAGAAAGACAGTGCACCAGGATCTTTGGGTTCCCTTCCGTGGCTGCTTAATAAACCAGAAAAAAATGTTAAAAACAGCAGAAGTGCATTAAGGCCCAGATGAGTAGACCAGCTACCCAAAGAACCCACGGGCACATGTGCATAGTGAGGACAACTTCTCTCTGTACTTGTTTTTGAAACACTTTCCACTACCATTTACCCACCCCATCATTTGGGGGAACTTCTTTCTTTTGCCTCTAGGACCTGGAGACTTTCTCCTGAGCAGGTAAAATAAAGGAGGCTGGAGGCAAGAGAGAGGTGGGAGACACAGGCCAGACAGACAAGGGTTGAGAGACCAACAGAAAACCAGGGCGCGCCTTCCCCCACCTCCCAGTGCTATAAACAAAGGCAAGTGTCTGTAAACACAGCCCCTCGCCCACCAGGTCGGCTCAGCACCCGCTGACCTGCGGGGAGAAAGTTCAGATCGCTTTGGCCGAGTTGTTCTAACCCCGCGCCCTCCTGTTGTCAGCAGCTGGCAGAAGTCCGCAGAGCCACTCGCTCGTCTCTCCGGGGCACTTGGGAGTTCGCCCAGGCCGGTCTATGCAGCCCATGGCAGGCAACTGGGCCAGAGTAGGCACCAGCAAGGCCTGGGAACCCTTGGGATGTCACAGGAGGGTCTGTACCCGGGGGCGAGGCGCGAACCTTACCCGAGGATGGGTTTCAAGATGGAAACGCTCTGGCAAGCCTCTCCAACCAGAGATTTATATATGCAGCATTTCATGAAACAAACCGCTTTTTAATACGTTTCACCTTTCTCCCTCCCCCCATTCCTCCTCTTCCCCTTTCCCTCCCCCCCCAGCCTGCAGTTAGTACTTTATAACACTTCAGCTCCTCTGATTTCTAGAGCAGAGTCCAGCTCTAACCAAGTCTGCGGGGGAGGGGGCAGGGGGAAGGACGCAGGGACTTTCTTCTGGGATATTACTGGACTCTGGGACACCAGAACCCCGACACAGTGAAGTCCTTGGCTGCTGGAAGTCGGGTTAGCTTGCAGCTTCCTCTGCCGGGCAGACTTCAGACCCCGCACAGTTAATATTGAGTTCCTTGTAGCTCCTTGTAAATCTAACCCACCCCTTGCCCCCCTTTAAACCTGTGGTCTTGTTCACGATTTCTTACTTGACGTAAAATTCCTTGTTACCTAATCATCCTGTTTTTTCAAAAGCCCTCCACCGTCCCCAGCCCTGCCTGCTCAGAAGAGAATCCTCCCAATCTAGACTACAATCAAACCGCCTTTTCCCCCCTTTCCTTTCCTTTTATCCCCTGTACTTTAAACCAAACACCCTAGAGTATTTCCTGAGGCTGTAATAATGCCTGTGATTCTTCTCACACCTCCTCCACTGAAAACCTCTCACGAAACACAAATCCAAGCCCCCCACACCAGGCATCTGATTAATTTCAGGAAAATAAGGACACCGTTCCACCTTCTGAGACAACTGCAGGCCCTTTCTAGGGCCCAGGCCACTCACTGGTTTCTTGGAAGCTTGGGGGAGAAGGAAAGAGATAGGTTGATGGCAGGATTTCCACCAAGGACACATCTCTTTCACAGTGCCTCCTCAGCCTCACCGGGACAGGGACAACAGTGACTTTGATTGATCGGAACCACTGACTTTCAAATAAAATTAGAGGCAAGTACGATAATTTAGTTTACTTCTGAATATTTTAAATATTATGAAAACAAGTATAACAGCTTTGTTTTCAAAATTCTTTTGAGGTATCAGCCATTAAAAGATTAGGATTTTTGTAAAAAAAAACACACAGTGGTTTATTGAATACTTACAATGTTTACACCTTCAATATTAATTAAATTCCACTTAGTTTTAGAGGACGGAAGTGCACAAAACAAGTAGCTGTTGGAAACACCTTTGAATAGGGAATGATCACATATGAAAGGACAGCACTAGTTACCGACCCCAACGGAAATGTTAGTGGCCCTGTTTTCTGCTTTGAAATAAAATTTTATAATCATCAGGAATATTTATATCCAAAGGCCAGGGATTAAAGATACACTTCACATATGCACTAGTGTCTGCTGTCTTTATCTGGGAGGGGCTGGTTAGGTGAGGAGGGACAACGGCGGTGTCTACACAGCCAACAGGGAACATTCACACACACAGACTCTACCAGTCGAAGGGATCCCTTACCACATGGGAGTGTCCTCTTCATATTAAAATATGGAATGCTTTTCTTCAAATATCCACTGTTTTGGAAGGGGAGGTGGGGAATGGATGCCTCAAATGGGGGCAAAGAGAAGGGGACGAAAATTGCACATAAATAAACCGGATGATCCAAAGGGAAGTAGTCCTCAGAGCGGAGCTGAGGGCTTGCCGGGAGTCCTGGGTCTGTATCTGGCACGTTGGCCCCTGCCCACTCGCTCTTTCCTCCTCCTCCTCCTCCTCTTCACTGCTTGAGCTCCAGGGCCCAGACGTGCTGTGGCCAGCCTGTCCGGCCTTTGGTTTTCTTGTCATTGCTGCTCACTGTGCTTTTCAAGATTTCATTCTGGGTAGAAGGAAGGCGAGAGCAAGAAAAAAGCAAAGAGAAGATCAGAGAGGATACCTGGTCCGGAGCCACTCCAGCATTTCCTGGGCCAGAAGGGAGGGAAGGAGGGAGAGCTGAGAGAGGGATGGTTCCCAGTCCCTGACGCTGCAGAACGGTGAGCTAGGGTTTTCAGTGCCCTAGCTACCACCGGGGGGCCTGGATGCTGCAATACTCAACCAGCAGATCGGCAAGTTTATAAACAACCGCCGGTTTTCGAGTCATTTATGGAGGAGCCCAGGGTCTTTCTTCTGACTCCAGATGTAGGGGCAGTGTGTGTGTGTGTGTGTGTGTGTGTGTGTGTGTGTGTGTGTGTGTGTGTATGCTAAATGTGCCTTCCATTTTCAATAGCAATCCCAGAGCCACATTCTAAGAAAAATGGGGTGAAGTCCACTCTGCTCCAGTCAGGGCCTTTCAGCCACTGGCTCTCAGCTTCCAACCTAGAAGCTCCTTGAAGGCCTCTGAGATTTCTGGTCATTTGCAAGGTCATTTGCTTGTGCAGCCATCAAAGGGTCAAATGCTCAAAAGGAAACAGTCTCAAGAAATGGAATTACTTTTCAAGCATTCCTGGCAACTGCCTGGTGTCCTCAACACTACTGGGCTGTGGGCACTTGGTAGGGACCTGAGGGAATTTTAAGTGGCTCAGTAAAATTTGGTATTACTCCTAATAACAACAACTATAGTGATATTTAAATTTTGTCTTAAAATGTCCAGGCTCGTTCAAAGAAAACATCACAGCCAAAGAGAAACCTGAGCTGTATTTCGAGGTTCAAAGTACTTATTTAATATTCACCTTTATGTCTTTCAAGCATAGCAATAACAGCAGCCATAAAACGCTCTCAGAGTTCAGAATCAGAGGCAACCCCCCTTTTTTGGGAGGGTGAAATAATTGGAATTAAGAGCTTCTTTCATTAGAAATATCTGAAAGCAAGGTCAGACTGGAGGCCAAACGAAGGCCCAAACGGGTACGAAGTGAGGGGCCCGGCCAGTGCGACATCTGTCTGGATCAAGAGTTGTGGAGCTCATCCCTCGTCTGGAGGGTCTGTCAGAAGTGCCAAGCACCTCTCCCAAGACCTCCCCTCTTTCTGCAGAATCCTCCCCCATCTCTGTTTATGCAGGAAACCACCCCTAGCACAACCTGGTGCGATCAACGCAGTCACAGTATGAGGGTGCCACCTCTCAGCCGGACTGGAGAGAAGCTGGGAGCAGCGGACCCCTGAGCCCCACACCCCGCAACCGCCCTCCGCCCCTGGTACTGACCAGCTCCTTCTTCCGCTTTTCCTCTTTCACGTCTGTTTTCTTGATCTCCGCCTTGAAGGCCTCCGCCTCGCCGTTCTGGTCGTCCTTGGCCAGCAGGTCCATGAGGTAGGCGATGTAGCTGGTGGCCAGGCGCAGCGTCTTGATTTTGGAGAGTTTGGTGTCTGCGGGCACGTTGGGAATGCACTCGCGCAGTTCGGCGAAGGCGCTATTGATGCTCTGAGTCCTGCGCCGCTCCTTGCGGTTGGCGGTGCCTCGGCGCTTCACCGGGCGCGGCCCCCCCAGGCCCGGGGGCCCGGCGCCGGGCGGCACTCCCCCGTAATGGGAGTGGTCCAGGCCGGCGGCGCCGCTGGCATACTCGGGGCTGTAGGACAGGGCCATGCTGTAGTCGGGGGGCGACATCTCGGGGTGGCCGATGAGCCAGCCGTGGAAGTAGGGGTTCTCATCGTGGCTGCAACGGCTGGCGGCAGCGGCGGCGGCAGCGGCGGCGGCGGCGAACGGATAGCCTTCATGGTGCACCACGGGGTGGTGGGGAAAGCCCCCTACCAGACTCATTTCGCCCTCCGCGCCCCTCCACGCGCCCCAGCGTGCGCGCAGCCCCACCGCGCCCTCCGCCCGGGGCCCTGCTTCGGCGCT